GGAACACAAGCAGGGGGAGTGGGAGAGGGAGAAGCAGGCTTCCCGCGGAGCAGGGAGCCCGATGTGGGACTCGATCCCAGGACCCCGGGACCATGACCCGAGCCGAAGGCAGACGCTTAACGACTGAGCCACCCAGGCGCCCCTAGACTTCTGTTTCTTAAAACAGAAGATTAGCAAACACTGAAAAGGTAGCATATGAGGGCAGCACCAAACTGATTCGTCCTTTGTGATGGGCTCAAAGGAAGCGAAAAGGGAGTAATTTGCTGTGTGACTGCATGTCATTGAATGCCGTGTCCCCACACCACCTAAAATCTTTTCCCCAGGAGACTATGCCCCACATGGGGGGAAATCAGTATCTGGCCTATTTAAAGTGCTTGTGACATGGCAGTTATTACAATTATTACAATTATTGTCGCTCTGCTCCTTCTCCCTGCCATAGCGTTCCCAGTAAAGCGGCGGAACCGGCACAGCCTAGTGGGACCCCAGCAGTCGGGGGGGCGCCCAACCCCCGTTCGACGCAGCAACACAATGCCCCCCAACCTGGGCAATGCAGGGCTGCTGGGCCGAATGCTGGATGAGAGAGCCCCTCCCTCCCCATCGGGTACGTTTCTGTCCCCTGGGAGGCTGGGGCACCCAGTGGGGTCCCTGTGACCCCGCCGTGATCCCCATTCTTCCCACCCCCCAGGGCTACCGGAGGAGCCGGGGATGGTGCGACTGGTGTGTGGACACCACAACTGGATCGCTGTGGCCTACACCCAGTTCCTCGTTTGCTATAGGTGCTCGGGGAGGGTGGTGGCCGGAGGCCCGAGCCCTGTTGATGGGGAGGGCTCACGGTGAGGGTTGACGATATCCCCCCACCCCCCAGGCTCAAGGAAGCCTCTGGCTGGCAGCTGGTGTTTTCCAGCCCGCGCCTGGACTGGCCCATTGAGCGACTGGCACTCACAGCTCGGGTGCTTGGTGGGGCTTTGGGTGAGCATGACAAGATGGTGGCAGCGGCCACGGGCAGCGAGATCCTGCTGTGGGCTCTGCAGGCAGAAGGCGGTGGCTCCGAGATAGGTAGGGTACCAGGACTTTTCCAGAACCTTCCGCCCTTTAGAATTATGCTTCAGCCTGTGGTCTGTTAGAATTCTCTACCCCATTGGAATCCTGTGGCCTGTTAAAATAACCCACGCTATACAGTTCTCACGCCCATAAGGATTCTTTGCATTATTAAGATGATCCAACCCTTTAGAATTCCGTATCCTGTTAGAATTCCTTGGCTTGTAGAAAAACCCACCCACAGAGGATTCTCCCCTTCGTCAGAATTCCCTGCCCTGTTGGATCTCCACGCCAGGAGAACCCCAGAGCCTGTTAGAATCTGCATTCCATTAGAAATCTCTGTTTGCCTTGTTGAAAATCTCCACCGTGTTAGAATTCTATACCCTGTCCGGAATCTGGCCCATGGAATCCTCTGGCCCTCGGAGTTCTTCCTGCCCCCTCCCTTCTCCCTCATGAAGCAGGGGTCCCGGCTGAGTGCTCCTTGCCCTCCGCAGGAGTCTTCCATCTGGGGGTGCCCGTGGAGGCCTTATTCTTCGTCGGGAACCAGCTCATCGCCACAAGCCACACGGGGCGCATCGGGGTGTGGAATGCTGTCACCAAGCACTGGCAGGTCGGGGTGCTGGCCAGCCTGGCTGCCTCCTTCCCGGGTGGGCTGTCCAGACCATACAGACCCGGGGAGGGGTTCCTTTCTGCCCTGCCCCACCTGCAGAGTGCCAGAGAACCCAGCGGTGGGCCAGATCCTGGGGCGGGTGCTGGCACGATAAAGGCCTAAGGGATGTCAGGTCAGGGAGACCTTCTGGAAGAGGGGCTGCTGGGCGGACAGGAAAGATGGTGGGTTTGCAAAGGAGGACAGAGAAGTCTCCAGGCACTGAGTGGGGGAGTGGAGACACTGTAGGAGGCAGAAACCCAGAGGGAGACGAGCAAATGTCTGTCATTCCCTCTGCCCTCCCAAGCCCTGTCCAGAATGCAAAGAAAAATACACCTGCAGTGTTGCTTTCTCCTGTCCCGTGTGTTTGGGAGAGACAGAGACGGAGGGAAACAGACAAATAGAAGTAGAGCAAGTCTGAAAGAGGGGACAGAGCGAGGGGAGGGTGGACAGAGAGAAAGGCAGTGTGGTTACGTGAAGGGACGCAGAGAGACAGACAGAGAGGACTAGGAAAAGCCAGAAATAGAGTCAAAGAGAGGCCAAGAGACAGAGACACTGACTCAGAGATTTCCAGAGATGGGGAGACACAGATGGAGATAGTCCTGGAGCAGGTGAGGCTGGAGAGAAGGGGGCCTAGAAACCCAGGGTGGGTTCTGGAGTTGGGGGGTTGCCCTGAGGGGTCCTGCGGAGGCGGAGGCAGGGACACCCGCCTCTGCCCCAGCCAGTCCCGCCTGCCCCCAGGTCCAGGAGGTCCAGCCTATCACCAGCTACGATGCGGCGGGCTCCTTCCTTCTCCTGGGCTGCAGCAATGGCTCCATCTACTACGTGGGTGAGCAGCAGCCAGCACCCCTCGTGCCCGAGAACCTTCCGGGGAAGTGGGAGAAGAGGGGAAAGCCTGGGCGCCTCGAACAAGCCCGCTGTACCCTCCCCGCCCACCCCAGATGTGCAGAAGTTTCCCCTGCGCATGAAGGACAACGACCTCCTCGTCAGTGAGCTCTACCGGGACCCGGCAGAGGATGGGGTCACGGCCCTCAGCGTCTACCTCACCCCCAAAACCAGTAAGCTCTGATGGGCTCCCCGCCCTGCCATCAGCCCCGGCCCACAGCTGGCTCCCCACCACTTGTGGAGCTTGACCCAGTGAGATTTAGGAGGGGAGATTGAACTCTTGTTCAGTCATTCAACAAACACTCACCGGGCACCACTTGTGTGCACTGTGGCGGGCCCCTCCAACCAGGGGCAGAACTGGCCCCTAGTACTTCATCTTTGTGTTTCTTTTCCACCCCTGCATTTAGGGCATGACGCCTGCGTGCTCATAAAACGAAGAGGGTGCACGTTTTACAGTTCTCTCACTTGGGACAGTTTTTTTGTTTTGGTTTCTTGACTTCAAATGCAGAGCAATAGGCCCCTTTTTGTTTGTTTTTTATTGAGCTGTGATTCACATAGCAGAGCATTCACCGTTGGAAAGTGTACAATTCAGTGACTTTTAGGAGATTCACAAGGTTGTGCACGCATCACTACTATGGAGTTCCCGAACAGGATTGTTAGCCCCCCAAAAAGGAACCCTGAACTCATTAGCCGTCATACCCTGTTCTCCCTCCTGACAGCCCCTGGAAACCTAATCTACATTCTGCCTCTGTGGATTGGCCGATTCTGGACATTTCATGTAAACAGGACCATAACAATATGCGGCGTTATGTGTCTGGCTTTTTTCACCTAGCATAATGGCTCTTTTGTAAATTTATTTTTTTCTTTCTTCTTCTTTTTTTTTTCATGGGGAGTGCTTTCTGGATCTTAAGATGACCTTGCCTGCTCCCAGGTTGTGAAGGTTTTCCCCTGTGCTTTCTCCTAGAGGCTTTTCAGTTTTAGCTTTTTATATACAGGTCTCTGCTGCTTTTCCCATTACCTTTTATGTATGGCGTGAGGTAAGGCTCACAGTCCATTTTTTTTCCCAGCAGCAGTAAATGAGTAACACACCTAACTTCACACCTGTCATCACCTTTCCTCCATGGAAGTCCCCTTGCTGATTTCATGTATTTATTCCTTTCTTCCCCACCCCTCTGCCCACCGCATGCCTCCACACTGTCGCTTATCTCTTCATTTGTTTGTGTCCTTACAAAATGGGTGTTGTCGGCAAGCTTTGGATTCGCAGAAATGTTCCTGGGCGTATATGTCAATTGTCCCCTTACTTTTGCCCACCCCGCCGTAGGTTTAATGTCTGTCCGGGTGGCTGTGCACAACCCTAATCCATGGCTTTGAGCCTCTGCACAAAATACGAAAACCCACGTTTTACCTACCCTCATTCCTTAAGATGGTCCATTAAGTCTCTGACCATTGCAAAATAATTGTTCCCGTCTGGAAAGTTGGCGAGGGTGGGCCGTCCCTGCGTTTTCTTGTCTTGCTGTCTGTTTATATGTTTGTTTTTCAGTCTTTTGCTCTGTAACCCCATCTCCCTCTGGGTCTGTCTGTCGCTATATCCCTCTCCCGAGATCCAGTTTCTTGGTTCTCTTTGCCTCCCTGTTTCTCTATTTTTCTATCTCTGTCCCCTGTCTTTTTTTTTTTTAAAGATTTATTTATTTGAGAGAGAGAGAATGAGAGACAGAGAGCATGAGAGGGAGGAG